AGCTCAAGGAGCAGTTGCAAATGCTGGATGAGGAGGAAGAGCTGGTTGGCAAGGCTTACTCTCGCGGCATCGTCGCGCCGGGAGCAGTTGCCGACGACGACGACGCGCTGGAGATGCCCGAGCACGTCCGCGCTGCCCTCGACAAGGCGGCGCGCAAGCAGCGGGGCGGATCGGGCAAGTCGATGCTCGCGGCCCTAGCTGCCAAGGGCGAGCGCAAGGCGGCCAAGGCCAAGGCCAAGGCCAAGGCCAAGGCGAAGAAGGCCAAGGCCAAGGCCAAGGCCAAGGCCAAGGGCAAGAAGGCCAAGGACAAGTCCAAGAAGGGCAAGTCCAAGGCCAAGAAGAAGGTCAAGTCGCGGTCAGCATCGCGGTCGGTCTCGCCCGAGATGAGTGACGACGGAGACGACGAGTACGACGATGAGGAACTGAACGGCATGGAGGAGATGCAGGTCACGGCAGCGAGCGTCAACGGCGGCGGCAGCTCCGGCGAAGAGTACGACGACGAGTCGGACGACGGATATGATCCGCGACAGCTGCTGCCTGACGACATCGACGAGCGTGGCGGCGTGGACGACCTTGACGAAGGCGACCTCGAATGGCTGCAAGGGCTCGACGAGTCTGCCCTCGAGGCGCTGATGGCGGCCGAGAACGGCGAGTCAAAGAAGAAGAGCAGCAAGAAGCGGAAGCGTGGGGCCGAGGCCGAGACCGAGGCTGCAGCCAAGGCCGGAGCGGTGACCGACAACGACGGCTTTCTCAACTTTGACCTTGACGACCTTCTGGACCCGCTCGGCCTCGGCGATGCCGGTGGTGACGAAGCTGGCGAAACCGGCGGGCGTGACCCGTACGAGGACTACGAGCGGCGGCAGCGTGTTAAGCGCAAGAAGCACATCATCTTTGTGGATACCGAGGACGAGGTGGCTACCTTTGATCCGGCCAAGTACTACGATACCGCGCCCGAACTGGTCGGCCGCAAGTTCAACCGGCCGCGGCTGAGTGACCTCACGGAGGATGTCAACCTGGGCCGGGTCATTGCGGCTGCCGAGCGGCCGCGGGTGCTGCAGAAAAAGAACTTGGCGTACCGCAAGCTCGCGGCGCGGATGCAGCGCCTCGAAGAGCTCGAGACCGTGTACAACACGCTGCAGCTCCACAAGCAGCTGCAGGGCAAGGGCAAGCGGCGCAAGGTCCGCAAGGCCAAGAACGGCAAGGCCCCGGTGTTCCGTTGGGAGAAGGAGCGCAAGCGGTGAGCAGACCGCGTCGCTCACGAGGTAAGGCGGTTGAGCGTCGAGAGAACCCTGGCCATGTCCTTGGTCATGGCGTCGGAGAAGACGACAAACGAGTTGCGGACCATGACGAGCTCGGCCTCGAGGTTGGCGACGCGCTCGGCAAGGTCGCTCAGCCGGCCCACCTTGTCCGACTCACGCCGCGGCGGGTAAGCGCGGCGGATCGGCGGCGGCGGGAGTGCGTACAACGACGCAGCGTCATGGCGTGCGCGGGTATGGTGCGGGGGTGCGGCATTTGCGGCCGCAGCGTCTGCGGCTGCAGTGTCTGCTGCTGCAGTGTCTGCGGCCGCAGCGGCCTCTGCTGCATCGTCCGCTGCTAGGGCAGCGACGACGGCGTTGTGCAGGGCGTCGCCGGTCTGGGCCGTAGCGTCGTGAGAGTCGACCGGTGGCGAGTCGTCGGCCAGCGCGGGAGGCGGTGCAGGGCTGAGGACGATCGAGTTAAAGCCAGCGTCGGTGAGGATGAGTAGGATAATAGGCTCGTCGGCAGACGAGCGCGGGAGAACGGCCATGCCGCGCGGGTCGGTTCCGTTGAGCTTGATGGGCTCGAGCTGGAGAACGTGCTCGAGTGAAGCGAGGTCGCCATTGGGAGCGACAGGCCAGAACCGAAGGGCAGCCGAGCCCAGGGCGAGCGAGAGCACAAGATGCGATGGCTCGAACGGCAGACGGGCCGACCGCCAGACGATGGGGTCCACGCCGCGGGCAGCGAGAATGCGCGAGACCGGGTCGAGGTCGCGGTCCGGCATCGAACCAGCCTCGAACCACATGCCCGGCGCCAGCGGGATTGGCACCGATAGCTCAACAAGCTGATGCCCACGGACATGGAGCTGCGGGTACTGCGCCATGAGCGAGCCGTCGACGGACCAGGTCTTGAGCGCACCCGAGTCGTGGCCGGAGACAAGGAGGGGGCGGTGGTTGGCGCACCGCCGAGAGTCATGGCGGTCGGGTCGGGCGCGGCAAGCCAGACAAGCGAGGTGGCGGCGGAAGCGGCAGCATCGCCCCACTCGTAGACTGGGAGGAGAACAAGCGATCGTGGGTTGGGCTCGTCGGCAGAGAGGGCGACGGACCAGACGCGGAAGACGGCGTCGACGTCGCACGTCGCCACAAACTGGCCGCAGGGCGAGAAGGCGATGGCGGTGGTGAGGGCGAGCTGCAGCGAGACAGGAGCAATCGATACAGTACCCGTGTCGAGGTAGATGGTGTGGAGCGAGGCAACCGAGCCGGCGCTCCGCGGCACGAGAGAGATGAGCACAATGTCCTTGGAGACCGGCGACGGCAGGACGGCAGTGACGTCTGCGTTGGGCGCAATGTGGGCCTGCATGAGGCACTGGGCAAAGAGCGGATTGACATCGGCACCCGGAGCGAGCACGCGCTTCCGGATGCGGAACGAGATTACGTGGCCAGACGCCGTCCCGATGTACAGCACGTCGCGCGGCGAGAAGGCTAGCGAGACAACAGGGCCGAGCGGCGGCGACGAGTCGTCGTTCTGCCCACAGTCGAGGAGCGAGATGCGGTCCTCGTAGGTGAGGACCGGGGCATCGCCGGCAACCTTGGGCGGATTGAGATTGTACAGATCAAGCAGCATGCCGTTGCCCACCACTGCGAGGTGCAGCGGCTGAGAGACGGCAAGGACCCGGGCGTGGACATGGGTCGTCCGCAGAGCCAGCGACGGCGCCACCTGCGCCTCGGACGAGAACACCCGTGCAAACGCCGTGTCGGCGGAGAACTTGGCCATGGCAGGGAGAAAGAGGAGGAGGGTAGGTAGGGTGGCGGAGGGGATGTGTTGGGGAGTGGGAGGGAGGGAGGGGTGTGGGAGGGGTAGAGGTGGAGTGGGGAGGAAGGGAGGGGTGGCGGGCGGGGCTTTTGGCGCGCGCGGTCATTCGGCAGTGGTCCTCCTGCCAGCCTCCCCCCCC